TTTTTTTTTTTTACTGTGAAAGCGCTTGGGACGCGTTTCTTCCCCCCAGGAAGTCAACCCCCCTTTTGTTAAGAACTTTCTGGGGAGACCCTTTCCCACTTTTCATAATCTAGCCATTTTAAATTCCACAGCCATGTGGATGGAAAAAAAAAAAAAAAAAAAAAAAAACTGCTCCATTTTTACGAAGCATTAACAAATTTTAATTTATGTCTTTACACGTTAAAAAGAAAAAAAAAGAAAAAAGTTGAGTGCCATTTAACTTTGGGGACATTTGCCAAAGTGGAGGCGGGCACGATGGTCACATCGGAGGGGAAAGCGGTGCTCAGCGTGTACTGCATTTTTCCATGCAGAGGTGTCGGAAAAGAGGGCGTTCAAGTGGAGCGGTTAAAGAACGGGTTGGGGAAACGGTCCTCTGCAGGGGTGCTTCCCACACCGCTGCATACCGCTGCTGTGCGTTGTCCAGCTGATCACTGAAGCCCTAACTGCGTGACGGGCGCGTTCCCCTTTGAATTTTCCGCGTCGTTCTTCTTCAGGAGTTCCAAGTACACCTGCTGTTGCTCCTTTATTCGGACGAGGCCCCTTTGTATGAGTATCTGTTCCTGCAGCTTCTTCTTCAGCTCTTCATTTCCTTTTTTTTCTAATTCCATTTTTTTTGAAATTTCGTCTAGGTACTTATATGACCCGTTGGCATCACATGCATTGTCCTTCTTTTGTTCTGTATGAAAATTTTCACCGGGGTGGTGCGTTTCTTTATGCTCTTCGCTTGTGGAAGCACTGACGCCACTTTGTGCCATGGTGTCGCGTGAGGATCTTTCTGAGATGGGATGCTTTGCAGAAATATTTTTGCTGAAAACATGTCCTTGCGTTTCACCATCAGAATGACTTGGTGACAATCTGAAGGTTCCATCCTCCTCCTCCCCCTGTAACGTGTGCGCACTTCCGTGCAGGTAGCTGTTGTCGTCTGCCCCATTCTCTTCTACACACTTTGTGCTTTTGCGAAGGAGGACGCTTTCCCCTGATGTGATTTCCTTTTGAACATTTTTATACGCATGGGGGGGTTCCTCCGATTCCGCCTCGTCGTCGGCGTCACCAGATTGGTCAGCTTCGTCGTCTTCTTCATCTTCTGTGCTACCAACTTCTTCCTCCACGTCCAATCCACTTTCCTCCTCCTCCTGCACTTCACTGTCCTCTCCCTCATCCCCAGCACTTTCATCTTCCTCCTCCTCTTCTTCCCCCTCTACACTTTCCTCTCCTTCTTCTTCTTCCTCATGCTCATCCTCGCCATAGTCCTGATATTCCACATCATCTTCCTCCTGATCACTTTCCTGGTCTTCCACCTCTTCTTCGTCTTCCTCCACGTCTAGTCCACTTTCCTCTCCTTCTTCTTCCTCATCCTGCCCATAGTCCTGATCATATTCCACCTCTTCTTCTTCTTCTTCTTCTTCATCCTCTTCTTCCTCCTCCTCTTCTTCCTCCTCCTGTTCTTCATCATCATCTTCCTCTTCCTCTTCCTCTTCCTCTTCCTCTTCATCTTCTTCCACTTCCACCTCTTCCTCTTCTTCGCCTTCTACACTTTCCTCTTCGGTCTCCTGCTCTTCTTCGCCTTCTACACTCTCCTCTTCGGTTTCCTGCTCTTCTTCCCCCTGTTCACTTTCCCCTTCCGTGTCCTCGTCTTGTTCCCCCTCTACACTTTCCTCTTCTGTCTCGTCCTCCCCTTCGCCACTTTCATCTTCCTCCTCTTCCTCTTCTTCATCGTCCTCTTCATCATCGTCCCCTTCATCGTCCTCCTCGTCCTCTTCGTCCACTTCATCCACCTCTTCATCCTCCGCCTCTACCCGTTTATCCCCCCCTGTAAGCACCTCCTTTTTCTGCATAATGCTTCCCCCCTTTTTCTTAACCTCTTGGTTGATCTCTCCCTGTACAGTTGGTAACCTATTCCTGTATACATACTCAGACGTGCCACTCACATCTGCAGGTGCGTTACGAATGGGTAGAGGTCTCTCGTCCCAGTGTGTACTTTTAACTTTATTTACGTACTTGTCAGTTGGGGTCGTCGTGAGACAATTCTGAGTTTTCCTTTGCCCATTGATTAGAACGGCCCTATTATATTGCACCACATTTGGTGCATTAACAAAAGGCAGCCCCGTTTGTTTTTTTTCTAACTTGGTGGTCATAGAAGGAACAGCTCCCATCATTCTTTCAGTAGTGGTTCTATTCACTAGGAAGGGTTGCTGGTTCGTTATATCCACATGGGGCAGATTTTGTGGAGTCGTGGTTGTGGAAGACAACTCGAGTGGAGTCCTTTGTAACATGTCTGTTGTATACTTATCGCACTGAGTTTCGTTTGTTCTCCTCGTGAAATACTTTTCACTTTGGTACCTTTGCATGGAGGCACTTGGCACGGTCCTACTGCTGCTCAGATTAGATCCACTGCAGGGAATTCTCCAATTAGGGGCACCCCGACTGCTACATCGTGAGGCCATGTTCGGTTGCACCATGTCCTCAACTTCCATCTCGCTCATGTGGTGTAAGCTGCCGCCCCTGCTGCCAACGCAGTTATAATTACTCATGAGGTGACTACTAACTTGGGGGGGGAGGCCCTGCCTTTGATTCGCCACGTGCATCCCTATGCATCCTTTCCCCGCACCCCCCTGCGGTGCGCCTCCCTGCGCTGCGTCTCCACTGGGGCCAAACTTGGGGCCGTCTCCTCCGCGTCCTCCGTGTGGTCCGCCTGGTCCATTACCACGATCAAAGCTATCTCGTTCGCTACGCTCATGTAGCCCGTTTGGTTGTGCCTGTCCCCTTGAATGGCTGACGTACCTCATGGGCTTCACATGCAGATCGGCGACCCTACTGCACATGACTCCATTACGCGCGTTATAATAACCATTCAGGTGTTTACCACCCCTAGGAATGAATCCCACATTACAGAACCTACCTCCGTTTTTCAACACGTTAATGTTAGGACAATGAGTGGAGAAACTTCTTCTACCCATGAGAGACACATCCACACAAGACCCATTTGTAAAAAATACATTTCCTTTATTGGGTTCATTATCTACCGTGCTACCACCTTCCCTTGTCTGTGTATTCCTCACAAAGCTCGTCATGGAAGGAAGGATGCAGCCACCTCCAACAGCCTTCACATAACAATTGCTTCCATCTGCATTGTGATATTTTTTTCTAAAGACAATTGGCACCTGATTACTTATAACATTTGTGGGGACCTTTTGTGTGCATGTTGCTGTCTCGCTTTTTTTGTGTGATGCTTCCATCTTGTTTTGTCCCCCTTGATCTTCTTTCCCTTTTTCGTCTCCTGTTTTTATACCGAAGAAGCTCAGAATGATATTGGCGTAGGACTTTTTGGGGGGGGCTTCCTCCTTCTTCTCTTGCTTGCTAAGCGGTTCATTGGTGACCGCTTCTTTGCTGACCGCTTCATTGGTGACCGCTTCTTTGGTGACCGCTTCTTTGCTGACCGGTTCACTGGTAACCACTTCACCGCCCTCCTGACCGGCGGGATGACCACTCGCTGGCCCCACATGGGGCGCATCCCCCCGGCACACGCCTACACACCCACTTACGCACCCGCTGGAGGGTAACCCCACAGAGACGTCACCGCAGCGAAGGCCAGCTAGGGACTTTCCCCCCTGCATGCAATTCAAGTTCGGCTTCGAGACAGTAATGATACTACTGCTGCTATCACATCGGTGCAGTGTAGGTGCAGACATTTGGGGGATGACGGAAGAGGCACGTTGAAGAGATATGTTCTCACTCTGGTTAGTAGCACCTCCTCCTTCCGCCACTTTTTTTTTAATCTCTCCTTGGGGGAGAGGATCTAAATGAGGTAGCTTCCCCGAGTTGATGGGCAGATCCCCCTCCACCATCACAATTACATTGGTCTTGTTGGAAGAGATGTTGGTTGTTGCATCTGTAAGGTTGGTTCTTAGTCTCGTGAACCCAGTTTCTTCATATGACTTATTACCATCACATGGAATGTGAATGGTGGTGGACCTGATGGGCATGTTACTATTCTCCCGTGATCCATCATCAGACAAATGAACCTGTTTCTTGTCGCCCATTGGAGGTACTTCTGAAGGGGGGGTTCGTGAGTACTTACTCTCCAGATGCAGTAGGTCCGTGTCTGCATCTACCTCATTGACATTATTTGAGGATTCATTTTGATCGATGGCACGCATGCAATTCATTTTGCTCAGGAAGGGGTCCATAGAACCTTTAATTGAAATGTTGTTGCATGTGATGATGGGGAAGCACGTGGGATTGGCTACCCCAAACAGGTTTCTATTCAAGTAACTGACGTTGTCAACATTAAGTTTCCCTGTTGCATCTGCATCTGCACCTGCATCTACATGGTTGCCTGCACGCGTGGGGACTTTGAACCCATCCTGCGAGTCCTTCACATAACACACTTCATACGAGTTATAATTTTTGCTCTGTTGTATTTTATCCAATTTGAGCTTCGGGATAGGTATAACATTTTTTATCATCACGTAATTTTCTGTGTTTGATTCTACCACAGGGGGGGGCATCATCATCACCACGTCGTCCTTGTCCTTCCCCCATTTCTTCTTCACCTCTTCTATATCCTTCGCGCCGACTGAGAAGCTATACGTGGTGGGTCTTCTATTCATTTGGTTGTAATGTGCTTCATGGGGAATTTCTCCTTTGTCTAGTGAATTGTCAATATGGGGCAACTTCACATCTGAGTACAGCATTTCTTTCGCTTTGCCCAGAACAGAAGCTGCACCTTCCTTTTCCTCTTTTCTTAAAATGGACGCATTAATAATAAATTCCTTTCCCTCCATCACCCCTAAGTATGCATCTAGTACATCCCCTCCTGCATCATCTGTGTTCAAATTTTCACTTTCCACGCTGTGCTGATTCGTATTCTTTAGTTCATCTGCGTGCAACAGGGAGAGTTCTACACTGGGGATTTTTTCGAGGCGGTTTTCTTCTCTCCTTTGTACATCCTCTGAGGTGTTACCTCTCAGTGGGGGGTTCTCCTCATTTAGTAGTGCCCCTTCCAATGAGGCTGCCTGCCCACTCAACATAATATTATCACCAATGTTGAGAGTTCTATCACAGGAGAGGGGTCGCTCCCCCGCCTCTACATCATTCAACGCGTGCCTCCCCTTGGAAGGTGTTTTCACAAGGGAATCGTTTTCATACTCCCCCCCCTGTGTGAAAATTACCTTACCCTTCATGGTATCCACAACAGCCTTGGCGTTAAAGTCTTCTGACTTTCCACTCATGACTTTTCTTACATCCAAAGATTTCAATCCACCACAAAAATTGTTTTGCCCCTTTTCAGCAAAAATGGTGGGCGGAGATACGCCTGCACAATTATTCTCCTTGGCGAAGTCGCTCACTCTTTGTATATTGTTACTCACGTATTGCTTCCAGTTGGACAAGTAATTTTGATTATCGCTGCAGTAGTCGCTGCACTTATCGCCCATGTTCCTATACACGTGTCTCCCTTTCAGCTTCAAATTGATGCATTCGTTTTGAACAAAGTTGCAATTTTCACCTGCACAAGTCAGGCGATTTCCATGGTCAGCAGAGCCATCCAGTTTTTCGTTACTCTGGGAGATATATGAATTGTCAAGGGGGTCCTCTTCACAATAAAACTGGGACTCCATGTACCCTACAGCATTGTCTCTCTTTGGAACGTTAATAATTATTTCGTAGACTCTTGGGGGAGCAGATCCTTTGGATTGGGAAGTTTGTTCTATTTTACCTGACTTGTTCATAATTTTTTCATTCATTTTTGTGTAGCTTTTTCGTTTAGGCATTTTTTCCAATGGGGCTTTGTCTTCCGCTTCTAGGAAGTGTTTTCCTGGGTCGCACCGATTTGTTATATCTTTCGTTATGGATGGCACCTCGTTGTTTGTGTTACGGTGGTACCTCTCTTCCCTCCTGCCGTCTGTGGCGGGCGAGTCGTCCGTGCAGTAGAGGCCCTTGTTGACGTGCACGTGGTGGTCGTAATCGTCCTCGCCGCTACTAGCGCTGGTGTTGTTAGTGGGGTCGTCCTCGGAGAGCGCTGGGGAGGGGCGTCTAACGAGCGGGGCGATGCTGCTCACCTCATTCGCGCTGCCCACCTGAGTGGCGCTTTTCCGGAGGGACGTCTTTTTCTTCTTTGGGGCTGCTTTACTGTTCACCCTGCTGAGGGGCTTGGAGAGGGATGTCCTGGAACCGCCCCCCTTGACGCTTCCCCTCCAAGAGTTCTGCCTCGATGTGCTCCTCGAGTTGCTGTAGTTCCTCAAATTCTTCACCCAGGAGTAGTTCTCATTAAGGCCCCCAATATGATACAGGTCAAATTTGTGGTTGATGCGTGAGTTCATCCTTTTCACAATGGACATTTGTTCGTCCATCACGGAGTTCCAGAGTGTCTCAAATGCAGAGTCATCATCGTATAGCTGTTCAGTGAGGAGGTGTTCCCCCTGCAGTTCCCCACGCACATTTCCTTCTCCTCCATTTCCCTTGGAGGATTGAGCGAGCTTATTCATTCTCCTGAGCTCGTTCAGGATGTTTAATTTCTCCAATTTATTCATCATGCCTAATTTGGCTAGCAGTGTTCCTCTTTTTGAAGAATTGGTCAAAGCATTTCCCTCAGACCTTGTCCTCTTCACATTGGAGAGTGTCCTCTTCGTACTACTCACATCCCTCTTCGAACCGATTAGCGACTTCTTCCCACTGTGTGTATTCATGGCTTCCCTTTTGTTGACCATCTCGCTGAATCTCTTTTCCTGAATAGACCTCTGCGCACTTAGGTTTTTAATGAATGATGATACTGTGTGTCGCTCGAAGTTAGGGATGGTCTTTTTTAAATTCAAAGAGGATGCTTGTCTTCTTAAGTTGAAGCATTCATATGCTAACAAGCTTCTGTTGGTACATGCTCGTGGTATTAGGTTACCTACGCTTAGGAAGTTACATGAGCTAGAAGACTTTGTGTTACTTCTCCCCCTGGGATTGCATGGTATGGAGAGGCAACCATGATGTTGATTCTGTTTGCTCTTGTTATGCAGCAGTCCGTCTTTCGCTAGATGACGCTCTTCATCTTTCCCTTGTGCTTTTTTTAATTCCTTCTTGTGCAGGGGATTATTCTGGTGGGTGGGTTTGTGCGTGGGTTCGGCTCCTCCAGTCTTCTCTCTCTTCATTTTGTCGTGCTTAGCATTCTTTCCTCCACCCACCTTGGTCTCTTCCCCCGTTTCCCCCTCCCCCCCGTTCTCATAATAGTACAGGCAGTTGCCCAAGGTGCAACCAACTTCGGAGGGGTCACTCTCAGGGGGTGCGCCAGCGTAGAAGCAGCCTCGGTAATTCACAATACGTCCGCTAGCATTTGTCGCTTCACTTGACGAGGCTGCCTTGATGATGCCAATACTACTAACTCCGCCGCTACGTTCACTCCTTGTTGTGTCCTCCCTGTTCAATTTCGTGGAGATGCAGCTGGTCCACCCCTGTTCCTCAGGTACCCCTGCCGTTACGCCCTTAAAATTTGTGACAAATTCACGGGCACCCACCTGTCGGTGGGAGCAAGTACGAATAAGATTGTTGAAGCGAACTGAGTTGTTCACCTTGTCATGATAGACTGATCTCGACCTAGAGTTTTTAACATCAACTTTATTAAAGGAAGTCTTCTCCCCCTGTGTCCCGTCCGCCTGTACATTCTTCTTCCCATGGCATTTTTGTAAATTTTTTAAGTACTCCCTTTTCCTCACCAAAAGTTCGTCCGCTGCCTTTTGATGTACATAAGGGACGGTTTTCCACATGTCGCACTTTTTTATCATTTCAATTTTGTCTAGCTGGGCATTGAGGATGTACGTTGCTGTTTGAAGAGACACGTCCTTGAGGGTCAGTATTTCCTTTATTTGTTTGTGTGCAGAGAGGAAGCTTTTTACGAGAGCGTTACGCGTGAGTTGGGCATCGGGGTCGTTATGCGGGGTGCTCCCCCGCACGTTGTTTCCCCGCACGTTGTTTCCCCTCACGCTGCTCCCTCTCACGCTGCTGACCCGCGTGCCGCTCTTTCCATAGCGGCAGCTCAGAGCCCTCTGCTTCTTTTCCTCCTTTATGACCTCCTTTTTGTTCTTAATGAGATCCACGATGTTATTGTACAGGCTCATGGTGCACACATATGGCGGGGTGTAATAATGGTGGTGGCACAGCAGACAAGCAGATCGTTCTATAGTATACGTGCGCGTGCCCTATGCCGTACACACAAGGGGTAGCGAAAAAGGGAGCCAAACGGATGGAAAAAAAAAAAAAAAACAAATAAAATAATCTCAATAACAATGCAAAGTGGAACGAGACAAGCGCGTTCGACAGACGCATACACATCGAGAGCAAGTAAGACCGGGTGCACAATACACAGACCGGTAAAATGGTTTTTCACGGAGGGGTGTTGTAAGGTTAAGAGCGTTACAACCAAGAAGCAATCCCTCTCTCATATTGTCAAAAAAAAAAAAAAAA